CGATCAGATCCGTCAGCGGTATGTTGGGTTGGTAGATAATACAACTTGAATACTAGGTAGTATTCATATCGTGTTTTGCACCCTGCCATTCCTAACTCTCCGCTCTCGTGTCTCACTACTACCACTTTTTCTGCTAATGTTGCACCCCTGGAGAACGGGCCAGAACACACAGAGCAGATCGGTCACTTTTGGGTGCGAATCTGCAGGCAGACCGCTTCTTTTGTTCGGGGTAAGATCTATGACACTAACTTCGTCTGGCGGGTACCTCTAAATTGATACCAATATACTGTAGCTCTACTTATATGAAAAGGCGACCAATCTGCTGAGCCTAAAATTTGACGCTTCCTTGTTCCAATTTCTTTCATAAGCCTAACACTGGAGGCATTAGCGGCATTTTCGGTTTTCTTAAGTTTCTCTCATGAATCTTCATCTCTTTTCTGCGGTAATTTTATAACACTGTACAGCTCTTCAAATTACAGGTTCTTCAAAATTTTTTACCCGATTTCTTCAAAGTTCAAATTCAATTTACTCCAACTTCCTCAAATTTTTTTAAATACAAAACCGATGCAAAGAAATTTTGTAGCGCTTTTATAAACTTTGCGTATGTCCTGTAAGACGTTAAATTTTAGCATCACGGAATCCGGTATTTAAAATTGCCACATCGTTTAATTTCCCAGACATATTGCCTGATCTTTATTTTGCACCTCGACCCATCCGCCACCCGTAAACATTCCCCCAATAATCCATGCATAAAATATTACGGCCCAGATTTCCTGCGGGGCCGGCGAGGGCGCTGTTCAGCGCCGTTCTGGGAGGGGATAAAAAGTGCAAGGATTGGGGCGGAAGAGTTGGCGGAAAAATAAAAAGAATGAGGGGCAACGGAAAGTGCGCAATGCGGAGTAACAAAGCAGAGAGAGGGACGGAGGGAGAGAGAGAGAGAGAGAAAGAGAGAGAGACAGCGCGACGACAAGTTGTTTACCAAAACAATCCACCCCTTTTTGGGAGGCGTAGAAGCTCTATTTTCAGAGATGGTGTCGAGGGGGGCGTTATTAGAATCCGGGGGTCTTGAACGTGCCCTTTTCATTTGTTCCCCTTTTCTTGGGGGGAGGGCGGTGTCGCTAGGCAGTTCTTCTAGACGTTATAGGCGTTCAGCACTTATTGGCAAATCGCGCTGGGCGTTCGGTGCTAGTTTTTCAAGATCACGTCCAGGCCCGTAAGAGGGGGCGAGGGGCGAGCCACCCCTGAAATCGGCCGAAGGCCGAAAAGTTCATCAGGGGACCCTTATGATTTAATTCTTCCAAAAATTTTTTTGCCTGCGGCGCTGTTTTTGTCTATTTTTAACACTAGTTTTAGTGTTATAAACCCTATGTTTTCAAAAATTTTGCTTGGGGCGCTGTAGTTTTAGTCATATTAGTGAAAAATTTTTGCGGTCGCCCCCCGAAATTTGGGTTTGTTACGGCCCTGATCACGTCTTATTGCTAAGCTATGCTATCTCATGTGAACATAAGCTTGAACCTAGCCAAGACACCTAAAGCCTAAGACGACGATTTTGATTGCGCTGGGTTCATAGGTCAAAATCCGTTTTATTTGAAGCAGAGGCAATCGAACAGTCCTTTATGAAAAAGCCTTTGTTTTTGAAAACCATGCTCTAAATAAAAATCTAGTTGGTGCAAGCCGGTTTTTCTCAAAAATGCAAATGAAACGGCCACAAGGGGTTCCAAGCGTAACCTTATTCAAAAAGCAAAAAGAATTGTTGATGTGAGTTTCGAACTTTTGCCTGAATCGCAAAAAAAGCGGTGGGCAGCGGTGTTAGCCACTGCGCCACGCTTGCTGGTGGTGGGGAGAGGTCAGAGCGGCTCTTCCCCCGGGAGGCGGTTTCGGGGTGGCGCGAGCATCGAGGTCCAAAAATGCTGTTTTTAGTTTTTTAATTTTATAAAATCGGAGACAGCCATTCCGCAAAAATGAACAATGGGAGCTTGTTCAGAATTGAATTCTCTATCGAATGAGCTAGGTCGCAAAATGTTTTGCCGATGACACTGAAAGGGCACTCCTTGTTAGTCGAATCCTACGCCTATTTAAGAGTTGACGCCTAGGCTAAAGCCAGGCTCAATCCCGGCGCAAGCCGGAAGCCAAGCGCGATAGGACAAGACAAAGCCTAAACCTCGCTCGCATGGTAAGCGCAGGATTTGGCAAAAACGCAGCTATTTTCTCAGCCGAAAATAACCTACCGTTACATCTATTCGATGTTCCTAAGCTCCGAACTCTACATGACTACTGATTTTCAAAAGTGCACTAGTAGTAGCGTAGCTGAAGGTACTTGTTGCGATACTTGGCTATGACTTTTCTTCAAAAACCAGGGTTGAAAAACCGCTTCGCGGCTTTTCAACCCTGGACCCGTCTAGGACTTCTGAAAATTTGACTTTCCATAAGGCTTGCCGAATGCCGCTCACCAAAAAATGAAAAGCGCACGCTCCCTCCATTTTTATAGGCTACGGCCACTTCCGGTCAATGCTAATTGCCTCCTAACAAAGAGGTTTTTAGATAGATTTACAAAAACTTAATTTTAATAGCGAAAACAGCCGATTTTCTTCAATTTTATATGTGTGCACCCATCTCGGGACCATTACGCACCTAATGACGTATCATACGTACCTTAAAAACCTTCCCCTGAGGCTGTAGGTGCGGTACATACTTACGGAAGTTGCATGCAAATATACACACACACACACAGACACTATTTTTTTTATATATAGTAGGATTGGCACTTGCATGGCTGTTTTCAGCGTAATCGGCAGCTCTTTGTAACAAGCGTCATCGCATGACACTGTGAGAGAGACTCCGTTCTCATGCAATTTGGCAAATTGAGGAAGTTGCTAAAGAGGAAATTGGGATTGTAAAGATTAAGTTGCTTTTCCATTTTAGCCAGCTCTTGCGACCCAAATTCACCTTCTCTAGTTAATCAAATCATGGTACTTTTCAATCATGATTTTTAAATTTTCTAAGTTTTTTTACGTCTACAAGTATTTTAGCTCCAAACTATCCTCGCGTGTGAGCTTTAAAAAACTCTTAGACAATGGGGCTCATTGTCCAAAACTCCATAGTCATGGTCGCTTATCAATCAGAAGCCCGATTCCTTTGTCTGAAGCGAGGAAAAGAACACAACATTTTTTTATCAAGAATGTCCCAATCGGGAGCTGCCGTTCCGATTGGTTTTTTGCACTTGGCAACAGCTGGAACGGATCGGTCTCGTTGATTTATTTCATGCGCTGTACCAGCCGTAAACCATCTATATTTAAATTTTAATCTGGAAGTTTTTTGTGACTTTTACCGTTTTATCGGGCAGCACTTTTTCAATGATTTTAATACGGCCTTCTCCGAATATTACCAATAGGTTATGGATTATGCACTTGTAAAACTTTTTAAGATATCTGAATGTCCTCAGGTTTTCCATTTTGCTATCGTTTTCCGTTCCGTAAAACTGTAACTACTTGTTAATTTACGATGTTTCAGAATTCCGAGAAAATGCGATTGATTCAAGTCATCAGAAGATCCCCGGATCTGCGGGGGATGATGCAGTTGAGCACAGGGATGCTGTGCCTCGTAGCCGCTTTCGAAATCCAGGCCCAAGTGGTGGTGAGTTTTATTACAGGAATTTGCAATCTCTTTTTAAATTAAGATCCCCGTTTTGAGAAGTATCGCGGATGAGGGAGGGCATGGGATTACAGATAAATCTGGATATTACGTGTAAGTAAATCTCTTGTGATTGCAGGAGTATCGAGCGGCTAATTAGAATGGGGGCAATACGGGCCCATAGCACGTTAAATATTCGTGTCTTCTGGGTTCCTTTAAGATTAAAAAAACCCCAGGCCTTATACTATTACTCTACTTTTGACATTTTGACATTGACAGTTATTTTCAGGAGTACCATCCTCTACCTTACCTACACTTTTATGAATTTCCTAATACCGCCAGTCATTGCTAAAATTGGCCCAAAGGTGAGGAACATAAAAAATTATGAAGTTATCAAAAGCTCATCATAATCGATGAATATGTTGTTAAATTTATATATTTATGAAATCCATAAAATTGCTTCAAATAAAATAACATGGTCTAAAAACTCTAAAAAACGACATTTAGTGGGCAATGGTTGCCGGGATGCTGTGCTACGTTACCTATATGCTGGGCTTTTTGCACGTCGAGGGCTGGCTACTGTACTCGCTATCGGCTCTTTTTGGGTCTAGGAGCAGCTTGTAAGTTGAATACCTTAACAGAATCACGAAATATCATGGATTTGAAAGATTGAATTAATTAAGAACCAACCCCAAAATTTGATACATTACAGTACTCTGGACGAGCTGCGGAGTGAACTTGGTGCGAATTTCTGAGGAGAAGAATGTCGCCAGGAACAGTGCAATTCTCTGGACTACCGTGCAATTTTCCCTTATCGTCGGGCTGCTTTCCTGATTATTGTTTTACGCAGCGAGTACGTTACTTTCCTATATACCCTGAATCGCGGTTCTTTCGTAGGGAGCTTTCCAAAAGCTACCGCGTCATCTACATGGCGTGTGCCGTACTTGGGCTCGTTGGTGCCGGGATTATCGCGTTGATGCCGACGCCGCGTAAGTTGGCGTGAAGCGGACTGGACGAGCACTTTCATAGTCCCTATAAAAGCCTCGGAATCGCTAGATTCGACACGGATTTTCGACTAGGTCTCGACTATCTTCAAAAGTTTCCGCAGTTTCCGAAACTTCGTCGTGAAAGAGGAACGATTTATAAGCTTTCCCGTCCCTTTAATAGATTCCAATCCCAGAGTTCAATCAATCACGACATTTTTTTAGAACTTCGCCGAGGCTCCTCTTCAAGTGAGGGATCAGCCGACTCGAACATATCCGTGCTGAATGCTTTTGGTTGGTTTCTAGGGCTATAAAATTGTTGCAAAATCAATATTACTAATTTTAATAATTTTAGAAGACACCTTCCGACTCTTAAAAACCAAGGAAATGATGCTGCTCTGCGTGGTGTTCTTTTTCAACGGTTTTCAAACCGTGTTTTTTGGCGCAATGTACACTGCTTCTCTGGCTGGTTGGTTTCACCCCAAATTTCTCAAAGAATCGCTGCATCTTGCCCCGACCTTATTTTTGCAACGGGCACACTAGCAAGGATCATTTAGGAATTTCAGAAACACCAAAACAGGCTCACGTCATTGAAACTATTGTCGACTTTAAGAAATCAAACATTTTTCAGCAACAACTCGCATGGACAGTCACGAAATTGCCATCGCATACGCTATGTTGGCCATTGGAGCTGGAGAATTTTGCGGTAAGAGTTTTGAGAATATAGTACCTAGGTCAAATTTAGCCGGCACATTCTTCGGGATTTCGGGCAACAGTCGTGGATCGCAATTCGGAAGAAAACGGGTGGCCGTTATTGGGACGTGCTTGCTGCTGGTGGCAAACGTTTTGTCCATTATCAATTTGCCGCCGGATGCGCCGCTTCACGAGACGGATAATATTGGATTCATCGAGCCTAGGTCAGTGCAGAGAAAGAGATGGAAGGGAGACAGAGAAAGGGAGGGAGGGAGGCAGCGAGGCCGAGAGAGAGAAAGCGACAGAGAGAGAGAGAGAGAGAGAGAGAGAGAGAAAGAGAGATATAAAGATTAATTTTGCTTTTCAGCCTTTGGATCGCCCTTTTCGTCGCATTCCTCCTCGGACTTGCCGATTGTTGCTGGCAAACGCAGACGTATACAATTCTGGGTGGAATGTACAAAGATGAGCAGTCACCGCCAGCTTTTGCCCTCTTCCGGTGCTTCCAGGTTAGCTAAACCGTTGAATTTTTTTCTTTTTGCCATGAAAAATACAAGCAACAACATCCGCTTCTTTCAGGCCCTCTCCACCAGCATCGGCTGCTTCATCGCCCCGCAATTCGAGCTGTACTGGACGTTACTCATGACGTCTGTATTGTCGATCGCAGCATCATGTGCTTTCTGCGCTGTCAATAGAATGGCGTTGGAGCGGTACCACGAGGATATTGAGAAATCGGAGTTTTCCTCCATCGAAAGCCAAAGCCCACCGCCTTCTCCAACCGAGGAGAAGATCACTTCTAATTTTATCTAGAAAATATAATTATCAAGTTTATTTATTGCTTTTCCCTTGTCTTTTTAGTCCCAGCTATTCCTTAGAAAAGCCCGCTTTAAACCAACGGCAAGATTGAGATGACCACCCAGCCGACTTCTCACCTTTGTATCTCCGTTTCCCAGTATCGTGGAGGGGTGTAAAGTATACCAAAACGTTCGCCTTGGATTGGTGATTATTTTCGTATACCTCACAGGCTTGTAGAATCCGGTAGCCAAGCTACATTAGGTTCGAATTGCCCGGGGGTCAGAGATCTGAAGTCTCACCCATTTTTTCTTTTAACCCATAAACTTTATTAAACGAGCTTGTCTTATAATTATTTTTCTCTCATTAGCGAATTATGGTAGCATTTTATGCATGGTAGAATTCATGATGTCCTAATGTTTTTCATATTTTTCTTTGTTTTAGTCACTGTGAGAACGCAATAGCTTTACAGCTTGCATTTCCCCTCTCTTTCCCCAAGTTTCCTCTCATGATCTCACCATATGAAATTGAATTTACTGGATTTGCGCTGAATTTTCGTGGTATTTCCACTGGTATCGAAAACGGTAGTATTTCATGACGTTGTTCAGCTGTCTGGTATTTTGTAGTTTTTATAATTGTTAATAAAATATATTGATTTGGCAATTTTTGTTTAAAAACCTAGTACAATTTAATTCCAAAACGACAAAAATATAATAAATCCGATGAGGTTGATAAGCTGGAAGATGACATGAAAGGTGAAATGTCGGGTGAAGATGTGTTCGTTGATGTAGAGCTTGAATAAAGACCTAAAAAAGGTCCGAATGTGGCAAATCCAGACAGGACAACTTTTTTAGACTAATTGAACCTGATTCCAACGGAACCGGGAATCGCGAAATGGCCTTTTTTTTCTTCCATAGGTCTTTACAGATAGGCAAAGCGAAAAAAACTGTGTGAAAATTCGTTTTTACCGGCTTGAAGGGAATGGATTTTAAGCAAAGGCACCACGCGAATAGTACTGTCCTTATAGTTAGGTGCAGCTTGCCAATCAGAATCTTGAATTACAAAATCTCGAATGACAAAATCTCGAATGACAAAATCTCGAATGATTAGAATCTCGAATGATCAGAATCTCGAATGAACAGAATCTCGAATGAACAGAATCTCGAATGATTAGAATCTCGAACAATCAGAATCTCGAATTTACAAAATCTCGAATGACAGAATCTCGAATGACAGAATCTCGAATGGTCAAAATCTCGAATGAACAAAACTTCGATTCAGCAGAACACAGTTTGGATGAAAATTTCCACAGCGGCCCAGTAATTGAACCCAAACTTTTTCTATGGAGGTTTTGGCAATCAATAGCTGTAGCAACACTATCTAAAAAATAAAGATTGAAAGAATTTGAGCCCTTTGCGTCGAAAAAAAACAATATTTTCGACTTAACGCTAATGTTCTTCATTATCATTTGTAAAGTATGATGCTCAAAAAGGACCATCCCTCGGCAGGGCATACTCACAGCCTACTAGCTTCTATCTAATACAAAAAATCGATGCTGGATCGAGCCAGACGAAACTAGATTAGGATACAGTGGGAATCCTGGCATTCGCGATTTGTTCATTCGAGATTTTGACCATTCGAGATTTTGTCATTCGAGATTCTGTCATTCGAGATTCTGTAAATTCGAGATTCTGATCATTCGAGATTCTAATCATTCGAGATTCTGATCATTCGAGATTCTAATCATTCGAGATTCTGATCATTCGAGATTCTAATCATTCGAGATTCTGATCATTCGAGATTCTAATCATTCGAGATTCTGATCATTCGAGATTCTGATCATTCGAGATTTTGTCATTCGAGATTTTGTCATTCGGGATTTTGTAATTCGAGATTTTGTCAAACTACCTAGGTGCAACTCGTAGCTCTCGGTTAGAACCAATTTGGACTCCTTCTACACCCTATAAGGCGGCATAAACTCACCTAGAATCCATAGATTTCTGCTTCTCTATCGACCTCTGAACGTCTAGGTTGGATTTTCGGTGGTAGTTGTCGAGCGGGAAAACGACGACTAGTACGCATGATAAGGACGTTATTCCGACGCAAAGCACTACGTAGATACCTTAAAAAACAAGAATTTTCATAGAATTTTATGAATACCTAACAATGGGAAAGCAACCGTCTTCGGGATGGCTTCTGCTAGCATTTGCAAGAGTACGGTCATTGAGACGAGACTGGTCAGGCCGATGCCAAGCTGGAAAGTATTTCATTCGCTGGTTCGAAGCAAAGCCTAAGCTAACAAAGCAAGCACTTGTAAGCCGAAGTCAAGTCTAAGTTAAACCGAAGCTAAGCATAAGCCGGCTTGGGCCAAACCTTAGCTAAGCTCGAGAAAAGCCTACCTTGGTCAACTGTTCCGCCTTGTAGTTTGGAGTCCAAAACATCCCAACAGCCGAGAGCATCGTGAGAATAAAACATGGGATTGCGATGACGTAGACGTAGAAGTTCGGGACTCTTCGGAGCGTTAGTTGGTAGTTCATCTAAATTGGTAGCGCTCGAAATTACCTTAAATCCCTATACCTTTGCAATCCCATCTTCACCCTGACCGTACGACGTATAAATTGTGGTTAGGTCTATCAAGTCCCACTCGCCATTGCCCTGAAAACTTAACAGGTTACGATACTTTATGTTTTAAAGGGTTTACAAAGGCATGGATTACCTGATTTTGAATTTGTATATCACTCATCGAACCAGTAAGATTGAGGAATTTTCTAAAGCAAAATTCACCGAAGTTCAGCTCAACTTACGCCTCATAGGCCCAGGTTAAAAATGGGATCGTGCAGATCTGGGTGTCGAAGGGGAATTTTGATACCTAATAGCCGGGTTAAATTCTTCAAAAAAAAATTGACGCCAGATAACCGATACATAATTATCCTAAAGATACCTGCATCCTACAGATATTCTCGGTAAAATATTGCGTGGGCCATTTGACGCGCCCGGTATTTAGGACCTGGAGGGCTCGAATTTCGTCCGGGCGCGTGATGGAGGCGCCGGTGCTGAAAGGTCAACTTTTAGAAAAGCGAATTTTGACTGCAAAGCATAGCCAGCCGCATTAAAGGGACATTCCGCTCTCGTTGGTAATTTCAAGGTCTTGAAATAGTCAACACTTTAGCATGCAAGATTACGGTAGGTGCAAAACGGCCGGCAAAACCGAACCCGGACCACCCAGCCTGGGACCAGCGCCATAGACCAGTAGGCCATGGGAGCGACGCGACAGGGGAAGGAGTCAGGGGCTATGAAGGGTCTGTGCCAACCGAGACCTTTAACGAGACTTACGCAGTGCCAACATTCGTATCCGGTAGCCATAGCAAACTCTCGCTGAGGTATATTTGCTTAATGCCACCGTAATCTTCTGGATTCCAAGCGAGTCGGGGGTCTCGCCATTTCTAAAAATGCAGAAAAACGTTAAAGGATCGCGCGTCGCGACGCTCACAGGTTCAAGACGAAACCGGAATTCTTAACAACTCATTAGGATACGATCAAAATTCAAGGATTCATTTCTCACCATTTTTATCTGGTATATCGTCGACAGCACCTGCGTCTGGGCTTCCTAAACGGAGCAAAATCCAGAATTATCAAACTTAGATTTTAATAATGAACATAAAATAAATAAGGAGTAATAATATTTAGTATTTTTAGCTATAAAAACTTACCAATCCAACAATCTGAATGTAGAACAATTTGATTTGAATGTTGAGCGGCGGGGTATCAGATTCTGAAGCGAAAAGATAGGTATTAGGGTATCGGAAGGGTGTCAGAGGGTAGCTTAAGCCTCACCAGATATATTATCCGGCATTAACCCATAAACCGGCGACATCAATTTGTTATAACTTCGATTTGTGAAGATTTCTTGGTATAATCGAGCATAGTCGTTCATGTAATTCGAGTAGGACTCTGAAAAAAAGTTCTAGCTTTTTATTTTGAGGCTATTTTAGCGAATTTTCTGATTTTTGTTACTGGAAATTCACTTTCAATAACCTACGACTATCCCCATATTTTGTGTAGTCCATTTGAGCATTATTGATGGGAAAATTGAGCAAGACCAAGAGTATCAGCAGAATCATTGAGAGCGAATAGTTTTCCAGAATTTACTCTAGTGTCTCCCAAACCGGGAACTAGCTATTTATTGGGTAGTGAAACAGGTGAAACTCGATCAGGCGCCGCCGAATCAGGTGCGCGGCCAGGACAGCCGATGAAAATTTGGCCCGACAAACACCTTTCCCGGCGGTCGACGGGGAGGGCCCAATTGAACCCAAGTGGGTACATTCAAGAGAAAGGTCAGTCTGGGACTACGATTTTAGAAGAATGCGGATTGGAGGGTGGCAGACTGGAGGTTGGTCGTGTTTAAATCGCGTTTAATCGGATTCTGGTGAATGAAAGCAAGTTTACAATGAAAAAGTCCTTAAAGGGACTCTCTCAACAAGGCCTTTTTCCATAACGAGGATAGTGCCAGTATCATTGAAGCGACCAAATCCGTACAGACTCGATGAAAAAAGATCTCCAGCCATTTATTGCGCACTAGGTGACTGCAATTTTCCCCATGGCACCCCTATGAATAATTCCGCGCGTCCATCGTATTTTGGTAGCCTCATCGGGACGCGATGTAGCTAAAATCGCGACGCGTTGCGTATTGCGTGGCTGCTTGACCCATAATCAATCGATGGAAGCGAGCCCACAACCACTCTTCGCGCTCCCCTTTAATGCAAGCAAGCGGGGTTTCAGGAAAACGATTCGGCTCCTAGAATCATCATTTAAAGCGCACGTTCAGGGAGGGGCCGTGTACTCGTCCCAACGTGTACACCCTATGGACGTAGGGACCGCGCGCGCTGCCTGCCCGTGCCGTGGGAGGCCATTCCCTTCCTTTCCGTGGTGGGGCGCCCCTCGGCCCTCGCCAGCTTGCACCTGTGGCTGACTGGTATGCGACCGCGTCTCCCGATCGGGAGGCCCGGGTTCGACCCCCGGCCGCGGCAAAAATCTTTGCTTTCTTGCGCAAAAACGTCCCTGAACGTGCCCTTTAATGGAAGCCAAAAACATACAAGCTACAGATCCTCGAAGCTCTGATAAACCATTTTAAAGCGCGTAAGCCGCATGTAACCGAATTTCAGGGAAGCTTTTTTGCATTGAATTCCTTCAGCGAGCATTTCCTTCGACCCCCAATTCTTCGGGAAAATTTCTTTTTCATGGTCCCTCCATTTCCCCTCTTCCTCGCTTCGAAATTGAAAATTCCGTCCAAATGTTTTGGGGGAGCCGCGACGATGACATTAGGGCCTTTTCTGATTCCAGACAATACACCCCGGCGGCCTCAAAGTTTTATTAATTCATCATCGATGACTTGAAAGGCTTCTGGAAACAGCGAAAAATTTCGTATGGTTGAAAGATTCCTAAATCACCACGGTGTAGTGTAGAAAATTCAGAAAATATGGCAGCTAGGTGCTTTGGCATTATCGGTCAGGGGCTGGTTTATCAGAGGCGAGAGTAGGCGGCTCTAATGTCCGATTTTCTATTACAGATCGGAAAAATGTTTCTAAAAATCTTTTACTACTTCTAAACCTCAAAACTTTACAAATTTTTAGTCAAGGCCAAGAAATTTTTGACCAAAAATAACCGTTTTTCACCAAAGCTCTCCAATTTTCGACTTTTTTAAGGTTTTTGAGATAGTTTTTCACCCAAAATCTAGTTAAATTGTCCTAGAAACGCTATTAAAACTTACTATTGCATTACTTGGAGTTTCGGCAGTAGTAAAAAAACAAGGTTTCTCACCGATACCCACCACCCCGATAAAACGAAAGAGCCGGAAGCCATGAAAAGAAAGTTTCGAAAGAAAGGTTTCATAAAGTGTCAAGCAGCCCGTATCGCCCCTCATTTATTGCCAAAAATAACACATGACAAAAACAAAGATATTGGTACAGAAAAATTTTTTATATGGCGAGGGAGAAAATCGAATCGAGGCGATGATGAGGAGCAGCTAGTGGAGGAAGCGGTTGATGATGTGGTGGACGTGGAGGGCCCAGTACTGCCAGTCGAAGATGCTCATCTTGGCCTGTTGCTTGCGGATAATCTCCTCGGCAATGCTACGCACGCTGCGCATCTTCGGCTGGCCGGTCGCGGCTGGGCGCTTGCAGCGCTCTTTTTCCTGAAAAAATGCGTATTATCCGGGGTAAAGTCTCGCTAGAAAAGCCGGTAGGGGTCAGGTAGATTTCTAACAAAAATGCTAAAAAATGATGACCGACCAATTGGACGACATGTTGCTCATTTTTCTGAGAACCAGATGCCGACTTGGTAGTCGAGGTATTCGTAGTAGAATTCGTGTCATTGGCAATGGTCGAATTGACAATGGCATTGGTAGACGGTGCATGGCTGGATGACGTGGTGTCAGTCGTGGTGGGTGACTCGGTGGTGGACGACTCGGTGGTGGACGGCTCGCTGGTGGACGACTTGCTGGTGCTCGGAGCGGGAGTAGTAGCCGTGGTAGTCGTGGTTGTGGTGTTCGTCGTCGACGAGGGTGAAGTCGGCTCCTCTGAAAGCAGCTGCTGTTCCTGGGATTTATCTGCTCAAAAATTTGCTCGAAAACGAAAACACCGCCTTCTTCCTCCTTTTGAATCCTAGTAAAATCTACCCGTTGCCGGAGGGGCCGTGGAAGGAGGTTGCGTGCTGCTTGGGGGAGCTAGAATTTTGTAATGAGGCTTTCAAATGTATTTCACCTGGAGACATGGAAGGAGGCGCGTTGGTGCTGAAGTTACCTAACAAATATAAGTGCATCGATGGGGAAAGCAAAGGAAGCAAACCTCTTGGTTCTTTAGTAGGCATTGTGTGGATTGCATGTGCAACGCTCCCCGCGGCAATAAGCAGTAGATAAGGGAGAAGGTTCATGATCCAATGGGAAACCGGATCAAGCGCTGTCGGGGCACACGGATTTCGAGAATCGTTGACTACCTGACCATTTCCTTCCCAAACAGTTACCCTATGCTAATTAGTTGCTTGCTAATTGGATTTTGTAAACGCTCCATCGGATCCTCTCGCTAGCGCGTGGGATGCGCATTTATCTTTTTGTCGGCGTCTTTTCGCCCCGAGAACATATGTGTATTGTCGGCAAATGCATTGAGAAATTCGTTGTCCGGGATTTCAATTCATAATGTCTGGCCGGCGCTGCAAATGTTATTGGGAATAAAATTGTTTCCAATCAGAACCCGCCCCGTGCTCGCGACTGCTTGCCCTAGTTCCATAGCCCATAAAATCGACGATGCTCCCAATAAGTTATTCGCTTTTCCTATCACTTCTCCTCATTCCTGCGTCAAATTCCGACATACATATCTACGAATCCGTGTACTCCTACGGGGCTTGGAGCAGATTGGAAACAGAAGGCTTTTTTGCGCGATGCGTGGGTTCGAAAATTTAGCACACGTAACTATTAGGTTGGACCGAAAGTCCCTAAAATCGACTTCGGAAATTTCTTTCTAAACATTTTGTCGAACGCTACGGTTGTTTTTTCATATACTACTATATCCTACTATCCTACTATATCTAAAAAATAGCGTCTATGTTTCACCCCGTCACCCCTGCCAGCGCTGACCCTTCCGTAGGGATCGGATCTGCGGGGATTCCGTGGAGTAGCGGAAAAGCACTTAGAGTTAGAATTCTGATTCCTATCGGGTTGTTTACAAAACACAAAATTTGGCGGTCTGACGGCTAGTCGACATCGTGCTATAACCGCAGAAGTCCAGGAACCCTGTATTTTCTTGTTTGTTGCTTAAACACTACAGCCAAATTTTAGTAAAACATTTTCCTAAGACAAAAAATAGTAAAACATCGAAATGGTTGGACGACCCTTCGAAGCAAACGGACAATAACTTTCCAGCTGCTCGGCGTGGGGCTGGCTTCAATAAGCAAGGTCGAGGGATGTGCTGAGAAGATTCGCGATCATTGCTGGCTGGATCGCATCGATCAGATAGCTTAGTCGGTGTTTTAACTTGGTTGGAACGGTTGGAGTGGAAAGGGAAAATGCCTCGGCAATACCTAACTTACAGCATGTCCGAAAAGACGCCGACATCGTCGTGGATCGTTCATATGGGCGTATGTTCAATCATTTTATACATAACTTGTCCGGAATCCAGGTTAGTGCGACCCGTGACGTCGACACGCAAGCAATTATTTTTTATTTTTCTGGTCCGGACCCGAGGAGCGATGAACAGACACTTGTGGATCTCGATCGCCAGGTGCTCCGCAAAATCGTATTTTGCTGCCCTTTTGCCTAAGCTAAATGAGTTTTTTTCATCGAACACGATGAGGCCCGTAGCGGAATCGAAATTTCGGGGGGGCAAAAATTTTGGTGACCTCCTCCCCCCGGTCGCCACTTTCAAAAAAAACCGAAAATCGCGTCAATAATAGCGACGCAGGCAAAAAAAATTCGTGTGAAAACACGCCAGAAAACACGCCGCAGGCGAAAATTTTTTATGAACAATTTTGAAAAAGTAGGCTTCATATAAGTAAAAAATGTTTGAAAAACAGTAATAAACAGCGCCGCAGGCAGAAAAATTCTTGTAACTAAAAATCATAATGGTTCCCCCTTATGAATTTTTCGGACCTCGACCGATTTCGAGGGGGGCAGGGCCCCTGCCTCCCCCTCCTACGGGCCTGAACACGAGTATGTTTTCGTATGGCAGATGGGGTTATGTAACTACAACAAGGTCTGATGCCTAGGCGAAAATACCAAGTATGGATCGTAGTTCAACGGACAGCGAATTGCACCTTTCTTCCTAGGCGCGTCACAGCGCATACACCCTTAATTAAAAATACAACGAAGGCTTGGGCAGTGCAACCCTGAAAATCTCGGCGTCTCTAGTTATGTGGCCTGTCGGGTGGCTGGGGCACGGTGGCAAGGGCACGACGTTAGGGCGCAGGTTGTCAGCGAGCGAAGGGGACCCCCGTGGGGGCCGAAAATAAGCTGCGGGATTGCGGTAAAAAGCCGATTTCAAGCAGGGCCGACCTTATTGGCGAAAATGCATTGGTAGAAATGTAGAAGAACTCACATTGTCTTTTGACTTTCTCTTTCTCGTCTTTTGAGCACACATTCAGAAATCTCAATGGATTTTTTCGGGTTTATGGGGTCGGAACTTTTCGTGATGAATACTTGAGTATTTAACGCAAGTTCAGGTTTATTTTCGGCATAAAAGATGTTTAATAGGGGATTTTTTTGTGTAGATTTTATGAGACTTGTTTTTCCATCCGAGCTCATATTTTCGTGGTAAAATCCATACTTGTCTATTGCCTATAGAACTAAGGCCGGTAGCGAAGCAAATAATAGACAAAAGTTTCGCGAAACCGCCAAATGCGATTTTAAACCATAAATTTTTGATTTAGCTCGAATTTTAACTGTTAGCATGCATTCTGGCCAGCGTCGCATGCGACTGACTTAGCTGTATCCTATTGCGCGCCCTTCCGTCTTTTTACCGTAACCCAGACCAGAAGTAATTTCAGCGCCTAACCCCGTCCTTGGATTGCTGTTTCCGCTGTGGCCTGTGGCACATCGGCAGGCATTTGTGCAAAAGTCCCAACATATGTTCCAGGAGTGGGCCGAATTCTTACCGCATTGTGGAAAAGCTCCACGCGTCGGGCAACAATTCTTCGAGGCTTGGAACGTCACCAAGGAAATTGTCAGGTAAATACAATTTAAAATTAAAGGCATTTCACAAGATATTATCTCTTGGCTCCGGAGTTTAACAATGAGCCTTTAGCGACACGCTGGCCAAACTAATCGTGACACACAGGGATCACCACTTGGTGGTAGGTAATTATTGTCGCATCGCTTCTTATCGTGCCAATGCCGAACAGAGACGGTTTGCTGAAATTGTCATTTTAAGTTTCTTGGACACTCGTCGGGTGGCTGTTTGGCTCAAATGTTCAAGCTTTGGGCACATCGCGCCGGGCTGTGGCCGGTTAACCACATTTTGGCAATCGGATACGGCCAGCCACGTTGTGGTAACAAGGCAGGTCATTTAATGCTGAGCAAGTTATCAAAAAAGTTTTTGGGTTTTTGCCGATGCTCTGGCGGAAACGGTTGGTATGGTTGGCCGGATTTATCGGCTGCACGATAAATTTATGGTGAGCAGGTTGTTTCTAGGACCACGAGCTAGAGACATATTGCCCATTCCTCAGAAATCATGGCATCTAAGACCTCCAAACTAGGATTGTAGATTTTTGCTTATACCCAGACAGTCTGCCTAATACATTTACATTTACAGGATCATCCGCCGCTGGCCGATCCCGTGGAAAATCCCATTGGATACTATCATGCCGGAGTATGTACGGGGTGTTCCAAAAAATTCAGGCGAATTATGCAACGGGTAGAATTTCATGGGCTTATACGGGCCAGGGTTGAAAAGTCGCGAAGCGGCTTTTCAACCTTGGTCATCCTACTATATAAAAAAAATAGTGTCTGTGTGTGTGTCTGCCACTTTGCATGCAACTTCCGTCAGCGTGCCCAGGAGGATATCTCAAGAGGGGAACGGTTTTAGGGTGTGGGGAATGATACGTCATCAGGTGCGTAATGGCTCTGGGATGACTGCACGCATATCAGATTTTGCAAATTATGCTATTTTCGACATTAAATTTCGATTTTTGTAAAATTTTCGGACACCCTCTTTGTTAGGAAACAATTAGCATACGCTAGAAGTGGTGGTGGGCTAGTTAAAAGGGCACAGGGCGCGTTTTTCATTATTTTTTCATCACAGCCCGGGCGAATTATGCAAAGTCAAGAATATCATGGGCTCAGACGGGGCCAGGGTTGAAAAGCCGCGGAGCCACTTTTCAACCCTGATTTACTTTAATTTCCTACTGATTACGATGACCGTTAGAATAGTTTCTCAACAACAAGTTAATGTTCAGGGTTGCAAAATTCATTCCTATTTCAGCAGCAAGCTATAATGGCCTTAGAAGACATGTCGATTAATGCAACGTGCGTGGCACCCGAGCCAGAATGCCTAACAGCCATCCAGGATACATCTATGAGCCAGATCGACCGACATTACTTTGGCTGGACTCCGGCAGAGGACTATTATAATGGTGGAAGTTGTGTTTGGCAGTAACCTGGTTTCCCAGACGGCTTACCTGTTAGCGGGGGATATTTTTAACAAGGAGCTGGGATAATTTTTTAATTCTTCGCTTTCTTCTATACTTAAACATCGTCCATCGTTGAGCTACCAAAACACGCATATTTTTTTCATGACGTTTGCCTCCGTTTGAATTAGAAAGCCCGTCAAATCAAATCAAAATCAAATCTTGTAAAAATATACTAATTCCGACAAAAATAACAATTATTCACGGACTTCTGATAAAAATCCTCCCGGGCTAACAGGGAATCGCCGTCTGCCTCACGCCTGCAATAAAAATACCTTGTTGCGGCTGTCACATCTGCTATATTGGAGTTGATTTAACGAAAAAAAAGTTTCCTGCTAAACCGACAAGATACATAATGGCGAATACCCCGCGAGAGTGAGCTATACCTTTGCCCCCTTTATTATTGCATCGATTCATACAGGAATCTAAAAAAATAGCTTAGTGCCTTCCACAACCATTTCCTTCGTCTCTCAATTTTTTGAAAGCAATATCTTTTTTAAGGTCCCTTCATTTCCCCTTAAACCTTCGAAATTCAAAATAACATCCCAATGTTTTGGGGGAGCCGCGATGATGACATTAGGGCCTTTTCTGATTCCAGACAATACACACCGACGGCCTCAAAGTTTTATTAATTCATCATCGATGACTTGAAAGGCTTCTGGAAACAGCGAAAAATTTCGTATGGTTGAAAGATTCCTAAATTACCACGGTGTAGTGTAGAAAATTCAGAAAATATGGCAGCTAGGTGCTTTGGCATTATCGGTGAGGGGCTGGTTTATCAGAGGCGAGAGTAAGCGGCTCTAATATCCAATTTTCTATTAAAGATGGGAAAAATGTTTCTAAAATTCTTTTGCTACTTCTAAACCTCAAAACTTTACAAATTTTTAGTCAAGACCCAGAAAATACTGTGTTTTTGACCAAAAATAACCGTTTTTCACCAAAGCTCTCCAATTTTCGACTTTTTTTTAAGGTTTTTGAGATAGTTTTTCACCCAAAATCTAGTTAAATTGTCCTAGAAACGCTATTAAAACTTACTATTGCATTACTTGGAGTTTCGGCAGTAGTAAAAAAACAAGGTTTCTCACCGATACCCCTCCCCCCCCCCCCCCGATAAAACGAAAGAGCCGGAAGCCATAAAAAGAAAGCTTTCGAAAGAAAGGCTTCATAAAGTGTCAAGCAGCCCGTATCGCCCCTCATTTATTGCCAAAAATAACACATGACAAAAACAAAGATATTGGTACAGAAAAAATTTTTGATATGGCGAGGGAGAGAATCGAATCGAGGCGATGATGAGGAGCAGCTAGTGGAGGAAGCGGTTGATGATGTGGTGGACGTGGAGGGCCCAGTACTGCCAGTCAAAGATGCTCATCTTCGCCTGTTGCTTGCGGATAATCTCCTCGGCAATGCTGCGCGCGCTGCGCATCTTCGGCTGGCCGGTCGTGGCCGGGCGCTTGCAGCGCTCCTTTTCCTCAAAAAAATGAGTGAAAAAATCTAGGGTTAAGTCTAGCTAGAAAATTTAGGAGGCTGCTAGCAAAAATGCTAAAAAATGATGACCGACCAATTGGACGACATGTTGCTCATTTTTCTGAGAACCAGATGCCGACTTGGTAGTCGAGGTATTCGTAGTAGAATTCGTGTCATTGGCAATGGTCGAATTGACAATGGCATTGGTAGACGGTGCATGGCTGGATGACGTGGTGGTAGTCGCGGTGGTGGACGGCTCGGTGGTGGACGGCCGGGTGGTGGACGGCTCGGTGGTGGGCGACTCGGTGGTGGACGACTCGGTGGTGGACGACTCGGTGGTGGACGACTCGGTGGTGCTAGGCGTGAGAGTAGTGGTCGTTGTAATCGTGGAGTTCGTCGTCGACGTCGACGTCTCTGCACCAGTGTAGTATTTCGTAACTAAATGATCCTAGGGAAAATTGGAACGGCAAACCCGATTCATCACTAGGAAATGCGACGAACGCGTCGGCTCCTATGATCAGCGCGAGGGCGAAAAAGTTGGCAGGAGGCAGCATCATCCAGCCAACAACCGGATCAGACGGAAAGGGTGGGTAGAATATGAATATCGACGAGAGAGCTCGGACATGCAGCTGACACTTGTTAATTAACTATTGGAATTGACTCATGCTTATCTTTTCGAACTTCACGTTTCTGATGGATGGACCGACTGGATCAGGCAGCGTCTAGTTTAAGAGCATTAGAACAAAAAATTTCGATCCCACCCAGGGTTGGTCCTTCTGCGAGCCGGCTCTGAGCCGGAGCTGAGCGGGAGCAGGAGCCGAGCGGGAGCTGAAAATTTTCAGCTCCCGCTCAGCTCCAGCTCTTGAGCCGGCTCTTTTGGAAAAGAGCGGGAGCCGAACCCTGCTCTACTCCACCGGATGCTGAAAATTAGTTATTTATGCAAATCTCCCAAAATTCCAAAAAAATTGAGTATTTTTGGCCTTGCATTGCCTTATTTGCATAGATATATGATTTGCAGGATCCGGTTTGAGTTGAGCGGGGTTCGGCTCTAGCTCTTTTCCAAAAGAGCCGGCTCAAGAGCCGGAGCTGAGCGGGAGCTGAAAAGTTTCAGCTCCCGCTCCCGCTCTTGAGCGGGGCTCGCAAATCAGCTCCCGCTCCCAGCTCCCGCTCTTTTCGTGACCAACCCTGATCCCACCATAATAAAGCTGGGGAAACTCGTGTCAAATGACATTTAATTTACATTTAAATAGTTTGTAGTAGTGTAGTAGTAAATAGGGTAGTTGGCCAATACAGCCTTAACTCTTTGAATTTTTATAAGTGTCTTAAAGACTACCAGAACGATGGAACGCGCACTGTCACCCCGAGGGTGCTGCCCCCAAGAACGCGCGGAGAGATGCGTCATTAGTGGTGTCCCGTATTGGGCAAAGACCCTCTGGGGTTTGGGGCGCCTCTGATTCCCTTACCCACTCGGCCCTGTGGTGTAGTGGCTAGCGCGTCGGACTGTGGAGCGATCCATCGCGGGTTCGACTCCCGCCCGGTGCGCAACTTTCTTGCATTCAACGGAATTTCATCGTTCTGACGGTCTTTAACTCTTTGCTACAGCCTGTATTCGTTGTAGCTCAGATAGCCAGTTAGGTGTTACTACTTGCCCGAGTGTCCATAATAAAAACACGGTTGACTGTCGTGTGCATTTGCTTGTCTTTCCGTAGGGCTTTCCTATCCTGTCTTCCATTAAAACCAAAATATCCCTTCCCGTGTTTCCAACTTCCTATATTTTCACCATGGTTGTTCACAGACGGGTCGGGCCCTGCCGCCGCTAGCCAGCCTGTCCGAACCCTTCCGCTAATTTTAGGCAAATTGGATGTCAGCCCGTCCGGCCCGTCCGGCCTAGGACACCAGGCCAGGCTCGAATCGACCAACTCTAATGTCCCTGCAAGATTTTGGCTCGGAAGACATACACAAAATATTACGCTGTTTCTTCTGACCAAAAAATTCTGGGGAGGCGATCACTTTCTGACTCTTTAACCGGCTATTCATTGAATTCCACCCCGCCCCCCCCCCCCACGACCCCACATCGCCCCTCACAGAATCGACAACTCTACCTAACTTCCAGGCGTTGCATTTGAGCCATTCGGTTATGCTATCGAAAAGCTGGCTATTACTGTCTTGTGCGGCACTAGTCGCATGTGGCGAGTGGACACATAGCTTGACATCATTGCTTAAGTATCATGACTGGGAAATATTGGAGGGCAAGCATATTGGTATCTGCGTAAGTCTTTGGCTTCTGGATTTATGGGGAAAATGGCGCGTTTGTCTCAAATCGCCGAATTTGAATTTAACATTGTCTGCCTATTTAAAATTAAATTTTAATTGTAAATGGGCGAAAAGCCCCCAATATCTTGCAGTTTCTCGCTGCGGGACTGGGAGCAATAAGCACAGTCGATGGCTGCGCCGATCCGGTGCTAACTCAATGCCGCTTTGTGGAATTCAACAAAATAGCCCAGTTAGTTTTATTTGCAGTATGTTCAAAGATCGTAAAAGAGTTGAATTATGCTTCTTTAGTGAGAAGCAATACGTGTCGCAGTCCTGGACCACGCACATGGGCGTACGTATAATGCTTACCCTGTAAAATTTTTGACCTTTAGGTGATTCGAGGTTATGACAATGAAAGTCATGTTGTCATCTTCTACTTTTCTGGCCCGGACCCTCAAAAAGACCAGCTCACGTTGGCCGAACTGGATGCACAGGTGAATTCTTATGTAAGACGTTCTGCGGATACTTTTATTATGCGACGGGATGGAGATTGTGAGGGAGTTACAAATTCGCGCCCTCGAATTCGGAAAAAAAGCAAGAGAGGCCACCGTGTTTGCTCTAATAAAATCCCGTGGGTGCTACTTTTTCATACACCCCGGCGGAGGCAATTTTGAGCAAGTACAGTGTCACAATTCAAGCGGCTCACAACAACTCAGGAGTACAAAGCATAAACGGAAACGCTTTTCGCCGTTTTTTGCTTCCTAAATGAAACCTTGAGAAAATGTTTTGAGTGGGAATATTGGGAGGGACAGGGATTAGAGGAGTTACGGTAAATCAATTCAAGGGGGTAAACGGGCTTCACTAGCACGGCTAGTGGGCTTCGTTATCTACTTTGCCATGCGTTTGCCCCAGCTCCATCGAAAGTGCCTTTCCTTCAACGTCAGTTTTCTCCAGGCATGGGCCGACTTCCTGCCACACTGCGGAAAAACTGCCCGCGTCGGCCAGAAAATCTACGACGCATGGATCGCCACCAGGGATTTCGTCGGGTGGATTTTTATTATAAGGGAATCGGTGATTTTCCAAGCCTCGAATGCATTATTCAGCTACCTATTGCCGCACGACTAAAACCTGTTTAGGACTACTCTACGAAATTTGCTGATGAAATACAAAGATCATCACTTGGTGGTAAGTCCGGCAATTTCACTACCGGAGTCACCGTAATGTCAAGGACTCGCTAGGGGAGCCCGAATAAATCCGGACTCAGAATCCGCTGAAAATTTGCACCCAGACAGAATTGCCCATGCTGATGAATGCCTCGTTTTTCGAATTTGCGACTGCTCTTTAAGACATGAGATATTTATGTTTTAAGTGTCATTTCTCGCGCCGGGGAAGTTTTTTTGCCAGGATGTATTTTTTTTGTTTGAGCCTAAAACTCTAGTTTTCAAGATTGGTGGCAAACTCGGAAACCGAGGTGCTGATCAGCATCGTCGAATATGTGTGTAAATTGTCAGCCAATTCTGATTTCGGATTAATTCGGGCTATCGTAGTCAGAATAAAATTATACTAGGTTTCCAGTTGGCCGGTCACTCATCGGGTGGTTGTTTGGCTCAAATGTTCAAGCTTTGGGCCATCAACGAGCGGCTGTGGCCGGCTAACCTGCTCCATACCATGGGTTATGGCACACCTCGTTGTGGCGACAAAGTAAGGCGGATCTGCAATTGGATGGCATCTTTCAGGTCTTTGCCGATGCTCTAATGAAAACGGAAGGCGTGGTTGGACGGATTTACCGACCAAATGATGCTTTCATGGTTCGCCTAAATCGTGCGATCAGTAGCAAAAATAGATGGTTCCGAAAAACACCGGCGTTTGGCCGCTTCCTATCAGAACGTTCTTGTAATTGGACCAGAGGTGCATCAGGCCCTACGTACCGTATTTTCTACAAATTCTAATTCTTCTAAGTATTATATAGCCCCCCTTCCCGCTACAATACCCGGACCCCAAAAAAATTTTCGAAGTTGCTTTTAAGAAGCTAAAAAAGGCTTAAAAGGTTTCTAGCTTTGTTCTGTGGTCCCGGGTGGTTGTGAGCAATTTGAACTCTGCTAAAAAATTTTTTAATTGCTCAAAACACAAAAATCCTCCCCAACCAACCGCTCCCCTGGGTTCATTGAAAAATACAACTGCCGGGGTTGTGCTAGAAAAACTATGGTAACTTGCTTAAAAATACGGGAACTAGTCCGAAATAGTTGGTTGCAGCAGAACAAAAATAAACTTTATTATCTGTTTCTTTCATGATTTTTTGGGGGAAACGGACCTGTATCTTAAGCGAACACGATGCGTCGGCTCGTATTTACACAGTATCTTTCCTGCCAAAAATTTCCTGAGAATACGCCAGTCTAACCCATTTTTTACAAGGAAAACTCCGATAAAAACTAGCCGACGAACAGCTGGAAAATTTCAGACCAGCACCATTTTGTTTGTGACCCGGTACCTATACGGATGTAAATATGGGTAAAGATAGTCGTGAATACAGGGTGGCTGAAAAGTTCCCGCAATTTCTTGATACTGTTAAATCGACTGGAAATTCCTAAAATTCTAATGAGGGAGAGAACTTATGGTAACTAATAGTTTAATTAAGACGTAAAGAACAAACTGCGAAACAAAAATCAACAATAAATCTTCACAGCTTCCCCCAGACGCTTCGATACAAATGCGCATACACCTTGAAAAGTTGTCTCCCATGGTCGCGCCCTCTGCCGCAATAACCGAGGCCTAGCACTTTCCAGGGGGTGTTTTAAGGAGATTCACTGTAGTGGACCGTTTTTCTGAGCTCTTTTGCTACAAAATGGTCGAAACCGAAAGATCAAAAAAATTGAATCCACTGAGTTGGAGGCCCAAACATCAAAGCCGCAAAAACCCGATTGCAACTTTCCCCAGCGGGTGATAGTTGAACGGTCCGGAAAACCTGGTGTCCAGTCTTGCTTAAGCGTGAAAACGTTTTAACTAGAAGATTGCTTAATTCATGGCTCTGAAACGATCCTAAGGGCTTGATATTAATGCTCAGTGACTTCGATTTTTACATTTTTTTGAACGAAAACGGTTTAAGGGTTGCTGGGGCTCTAGATTCCTACTCAAATCATCAAAGTTCTCGGAAACCGGGAATGGAAGACCAAGAATCCTCTATTAACCGTTTTTGAAAAGTTTACGATGATTTTGCCCGTTCCGGCTCGA